GCGACGAAAGAGCCACTGATCGATTATTGATTAGATAGTACTTTATAAGGATTGTGCCAAAGCCTAGTGAATGCTTAGCGCTCTGAAAAGGGGTGATTCCTTGAAACCCTTTATGCCTGCCGCAATGAGCTTTAGTAATACCCTCTGCTTTCTCTTCATCGTGTTACCCACTAGAATTTCTTACAATTGAGGTGTGACCAGAAATCGAAACGGGTAGAATATGCTGTGACCAACACATGACCTACGTAAGGAGTAATTTTTTTGATTACGTTACGTCTGGTGAAGCAAGAATTTTCTGCTGCAAACTGTTCTCGAAAATTCCAAGGAGATCTTGTTCTTTTCCTTTTTTCTTGAAGCTACGATTGTCATCCTGCTGTGTCGGGAAGAAAACTAGATTAATAGTTCAAATCTCACCTGCGCTCTGCATGTCAGGTTCTCCTTATCGATCCAGATAATCTTGTCCATCAGAGCCATGTCCAATGAGATCACAGCTCGTCGCTCTGCTGCAGGACATTCAAGAGCACTTGACACGGAAGTCCCACCTCCGATTGGGATAATTGCGCAGTTCTTTTCCATCGCCAATTGATAATCTAAAGGACGAAGATGTAAAATAGAATCTTATGACAAACTTGATTTTGCCTCCGCCCACCTCGTCGCGTGTCCGGCCTCTCCTCCTTAACTAGCCTTATTTTACTTTTTTCCACCTGCTCATGTCTTGAGGGCCCCTTCCAAACTTTCTGCTTACTTCCGCCCACTCTAAGGAATTCCTCGCTCAAAGGCAAACGGCTGTGTTAGGCACTTCCACATGTTCCATCTCAGATGGTGGTAGACAAGTAGACAAGCGGTGATGTGCCACCCTCTTTGCACCTTGGGAGTAAGGGACAAAGGCGTCAGAAGTTCACTCGACCTGCAATCTACACCTTTGTCCGCAAGCTCCGCTTCCTGCCGGTTGCCAATGGTGCTGCGAGAAGAGCGCGGCTGCAGTTGCTGCCGCGTTAGCATTCAGCTATGCTGTCTATTGTTGGCACTGCACTGGTGACTCGTTTGAACTATTAAGGCTGTGTTTGCATTTTTTATAAAGTGTTGGTCACCAGCATTTCTCGCTTCACCCCACTCGTGATAAGTGACTACTCGATGCCTCATTTTATCATTTTTTGTTGGCGTTGTGCAATGAGGGGAAAAAAAAAAAATAAATCAAAAAAAAAGGGGAAAAAAAAATTAAAAAAAAGAAGAGCACATGTGACCGCATAAATTTTTTAACCACGATACTGACCGACATTTCCGCGTGTATACGCTGCCATGTTACAGCGACACTCTTGCAGAGGTGATTATTGACACACGATGCAACGGCTTGGACTTGTAAGCATTGTGAAATTACTTCACGACGAAAAGAGAAAAATCACACAGCAAAAAAGTGCGAGACCAGGCTGGAAATAATTACATTTAACTTCTCCGCCAAACAGCTCTGGTCACACTCCATCTATGTGCTGCGCATCCGAGTCAACGCGGCACGTTTTGAAGGAGAAACAGTTCAGAGAGTACAAAAAATTCGGAATCTGGGTGTCCATGTTTACCTGCGCACAGTTGCTACGATTCTTCGAGAAGGAAGTCGAGTCTCTGCGTGAGGAATGGCGAAGCCTGGCACAATAAGGTAGTATCCATCCCTTCATCTGAGATGCCGAATTGTTGCTGTTAAAAAAATTTTGTGGTACGTCCAAAAGCGACATTTATAACGCAACAACCTAAAATCTTCGGCGAAACCCGTCCGAGCACTCCCCGCCTCCATACCAAAGCGGAATGCGGCTGAAGTAGAGGTAGACCAAAGGGCGTAATCGTGAGTATCGTGATAAATAATCGTGAATTTCTTCTACTTCATCTTTTGCAGACCATTCTCTAGCTCCAGCTTCATTATTGAACGCTCCTACACAACCATTTTATCCCGGAGCTTGCTTTTAGAATTAGGCAGGTGATTCTGTTGCCAGCGATTCTCTGAAACGCTGGCGATCGATCGAGAAGTCTGACACCTGCCTTACTATAAGCCTTTGATCGTCGTTTGCAAAATATCAATCGTCTCACCTTCATCACATCTTCTTCACTTCGCGGCCATACGACAATATCCGGCAGCCGTGGAAATTTTCCGTGACGCAGATAAAATATTTCGTGAAGCTGAAAATACGCGAGTGCGCTACCATCGCTCAATGACGTGTAGATTGTATTTTCACTTCACTCAGCTGAAGAAGCAGAGTATTCACATAAGATGGCGCTCCTTCAAGAGATAGAACCTTCACAAGACATGGCAATAACTGACCACAGAGGTGGCACCAATGATGGAAATGTTGCTTACCGTATGCCCGTGCCCACGCATAAGTCTAATCAAGGGCGCGTTTGAGAACGAAATGTCGGCGCAGAGGAGCTCGTCGTAAATCTGGTCGTTTTCGATAGGTGGTGGGATTCCTATATCACCGATCCTTTGGCTTGGTTTCATAAAATCTAAGTCCACCCCAAGAGTCTCCTCAAACCACGGGCGGAAATACGGCATTTTGTGGCCGCTTGTTTCATACCTAAATTCAATATCTGATAAGTCATAAATACAAACACAGGATGGCTGAAAAGTATAGGACGCGACTTTGACAGCTTGCTGGCACTGAGCCGTGGAGTATTTTCAGAATGTTTTGAAATTCTTCGAAAGCTTTGAAAGCTGTGTAAGAAGCTCCATAAGTTGTTTGGTCCAAAGTTCATCTGAACTCTCGCTATGAATTTTTTTCGCATCGACTCATGTTCAAAAGACTGAACAAGAACGGTCTCCGAATCTTCGACTCCACAGAGCGACTCCCTCTTCTACTCTTCGAAACATCTTCGCTGCTTTTTAGCTTCAAGGACACATTATAGGATCGCACCAAGAGCAAGGTCGAGATCTGTGCACGCTCAGAGGATTGAGGCGATCACCTAGAAGAGGGCCACTCATAGCGATGGAGCCAGCGTGAGTCACACACATCGCTTTTGATCTCAGGATCTGCCGTCAATCCTACCAACAGATCTCGGAAGCAACTTTATTCTGAAGAGTTACCGTCTCTATCTATGCTGGTTTTTATTGGAGCAATCCGAATTAGTAGGTTTTTTTTTCGGACTCGTGGCTCTTTGATTTTTTGTTGATTATGATCGAAGATTATGATAGCGGGCAATCTTTTGGAGATTCTGATACAATACTTGTGTATGTGCTTTACTCTGGAGCTCACACGTAAGCAAAAAAGGATTGCTCATCCTACATGATTGCAAGTTGAGTCGAAATCGAATGCCTCTGTATACGCTCGTAATCAATGAAGCCTGGGATGAAGGCACGGTTGCAGAGAAGGCTGTTTGCGTCTGTGTATGCGTCAGCTACTTCTCTTTGTTTCTTTTCTCTAACTTTTATTTTTCTTCTAATACTTTTGACCTCTTCTTTCTTCATTATCCTTCCTTCGATTTAGTTTGACCCAAGCATTTGCGTTTACATTGGAGCGTTCATACTTACAAGTGTTATGTGGGGTGGTACCAGGACATTGATTGTGGTGAAATAGGGTGACAACAATTGATAAGGCTGTCAGGGAGCCCTGTAAAAGTTCCCATTCCGTTGCGTAGCTGGCACTGACACTGGGCGCCCATACTTGCAAGTATTATTACATTGTTAGTGGGTGACAAAAATGATAGCAACTGATAGAGGCTGATAAGGAGCCTTCGAAAGGCAAAAGTCGTCAATTCCGTTGCGCAGTCACGTTGACACTAGGGTGTTCTTACTTGCAAGTGTTATGAGGGGCTTGACGTGGACATTCAATCAATGTAACTGTCTTAGCTGAGCAGATTCTTGACGGATGGCGAACTTCATTTTTGACTAATAGCAAGAAGACCAGAGCTCACTTGATGACAGCTAAAGCTTAGAGATTTCTCGAACACTGTGAATGAAAGATAAGCATTAGATGCTCACTTATTATAAGTGAGCATGTTTCATTTTGATTTTGAGGCTAACAGCATAACCCTATTCACCGCTAAATTATCAGAATTCAGGAAGAAATGCCGAGTGTTTACAGAGTGTGTGATAAATATACCAGCTCAGCTTCGTACGCTATCACGCACATCCATAAAGGACCTCAATGAAACTGGAGAGCCTGCGGAACCTTAGGTCGTGTGATACGCGCGATACCGGGCGGAGCAAAGCTCGTATCTTAGATACTATGTAAACATCATATAGTTTGATACGTGATTTCAAGTTATGTAGCTTGAAATTTTGATTCCTAGGCTGTAACGCTGCCTGTCCCGACTCAATACGTAACCCAAGGGTATAGATTTTCTGAATTTTTTCCGTCAACTCCATATCTTTTTTCTTACAGTTGGTCAGTAGTAATTGGTGGCTTCTCTCTGCTTGTTTGGCTGCACTGCTATACTTTCCAGCAAGAAATTAGAATGCAAGTTAAGAAATGAGGATTACAAATGTGATCGAGAAAAACTGACCTGTCACCCATCATAACGATGTTGCCTTTATGATCCATTTTTAGAAATGAGTCGGCAAAGCCCCAACCATTCCATTTTAGCTCTCTGTCACTGGAAAATTCGCCAAATCATTCACATGTTTTGTATGTGTCCTTCATATTGCAATTTTTAACCCTAAGAGTAATTCCGTGTTCAAAAACGAGCTTTGAACTACAAAGTCAATTTCACTACCCGATGGACAGTGGAATTTAGCAATATTTCATACGACTGCTTAGATGCTTTGCATTTGTCGTCCTCTTAACTGTTTTTCTTATTCAAAGTGAAGTTCCTCTTACCAACAGGTGTCGAGAAACCATTCATTTTTAGAAGAAA